AACACCCACAACCAGTCGCACCTCTTGTTCCGCCTCTGTGTAAGCAATGGAAACCAACTGCTGTAGAACTGCAGATACAATTGCATCAGCCATTCCTAGGAGATGAAAAAGGAATCAAAATGAAGAAGGGTCTTCAAAGATGGCTTCCCCCCTCTTCACCTTAACATCTAATTTTCTTTTCTCTATCTTTATTTCTCTAGTTTTCAAAAAAAATTTATATATTTTTAAACTATCAATAAAATAAATTATTATTACAAAACCCAAAAGTTGAATACAACTAAACATGCACTAATTGGGGATGACAAATATACAATTGAAATGGTAGTATACAGACAATTATCTAGGGCTAAGAGAAAGGTTTAACTTTAGACTTTTCAAAAAGCAATTTATTTGACACAGACTAAAGAATTCATTACATGAACAAAGGGGTTAGATCATTTGATCAGTAAAATCAGTTTTGATATTCAAAATAGGATAATCAAGTTATCCCTAATTTGGCATATACAGAAGAATCAATTGCATAAAAGAATGGGTTCAACTAATTTAATTGATAAAATTATTTATCATTTGATATAAAAGAATATATTTCTCTTTGTATAATTTTTTAAATTATTTAGAATAAATAAGTTTATTTAGCCATTATAATAGTTTAATTTATTCTAGTTTCTTTTAGGTAGATTTAAATATTATATGAATTAGAATCTTTTATATTTTTTTCTCTTTTATAATTTTTGTTGTTAATTATAAATAATATCTACACTTCTAAGGAGAAAAAAAATTAGACAATAATGAATTAAAAATCTCTTTATTATTATTTTATTCTCTGTTATCTCTCTTTATCTTTATTTTTTTATTACTATTTTATTTAATTCATCTCATTTAATTTATTTCTTATAATATTTTTTCGCCTTAAGATTTAATTTCCTTTCCTCTATCTTTATTTCTCTGTTTTTTACTTTTATTTTTAAACTATCAATCAGACAAATTAGTTTAACAGTTATTCATCTTACATCGGTTATTATTACAGCCCAACTTCCATCTATATCTTTTGCTATTTTTACACGGTATAAATAAAAAAATACAAATTTTTTCAACCAAAAAAAATGTTTTTAACCTAAAAGAAATATTAACTTTTATATCAAATTCTGCAAGTTTCACCTTAAAAAAAAATTATAATTTTCATTTCTATCTTTCCTTATAGGAAAAAAATACTAAAATTCTGCTATTATCTGTAATGGCCTCGGAAATCCAAAAGGAAATATATAATAATTTAAGTGCGGAAGCGAAATAAAATGTTAAACTTTAGATTTCTTACACAATAACTTAAAAGTACTAAACAATATTACAGAATAAATTCTCTTAAAGAAACACGAGAAATAAGAAAAATAATGAAAAATAGAAGGTATCTAGCATCTATTCGCAATTTTCTTGTGGATTGGGCTCTGAAACCAGCTCCTCTTAATTTGAATTGGTTAAATAAAAGATGAGTTACACTAACCCAGTAAGAATATCACACTGTATCACCGACACAGAAACAAATGTTGGTATAAAATCATAATTAATGGAGCATTAAATTTAGCAAATTCGTTTATCAATCATAAAACTATTTACCGTTCACTTACCGTAGTGGAATTTATGAAAACAACCTATAGAGACAATAATACCATACATATCATAACTTCATGAACAATAAGCAACATAAAACATATTATAAATTCATATCCATTAATAATAAACCAAATCATAACCGTTTCTCATTTCACCAGCCTCCTAATATTCATGGGGGTTCGTAGGGGTGTCCCCGCTACACGTGAATCATTTTTCTTAACAATCTCAATTACAGGACCGTCTCTATACCCCGTCCGGTATGAGGGCCAAGACATTAAATCTCAATATTCCGTCTGGTATGAGGGTGAAGCGGGTCGTCCACATACCCTGTTCGGTATGAGTACCAAATTACCAAGTCTCCATATCCCGTTCAGTATGAGACAAGGTTCACGGTGGGGTTCTCTATGTACCCGGTCCATCCACCATCTCCTATGATATCTAGTAAGGCTGTCATTCCATATGTTTATTTGATCACACCTCTTTCTTGTTTTCCTTTAGTCTCCATTACCAAATCAAATATAATCACATAAACAAATAAATATGCACCCGATAATGCAATCATGTCTCAAATTTCAAATCAAACAAAAGTCAGGTAAGGCAGCAATACATACATTTAAACAAGAAAATAGATAAATCAGATACTATCATGCTTTTAGATTGTAAAATAAATCACAGAGAACAATATCTGGTTCGGGCTCCATTAGCAATCCGTAATTAGTTATGCACATCTATTTAATTTGTACACAATACCGAATTATTATTTATTTAAACATAATTCTATGATAGGGAATAGGGTGAGAGATCCTTACTCGATCTGACGTCAAAAAGATAAACGGTTTACTGCGTATACAGGCGGTCCTTGGGTTCCCTGAATTTTTCTCCGGAAACTGAAACGCGCTTATAGTACCTACAAATGTTCTAAATAAACCCAAAATCAGTCTCATAGCTCACTCGGCCAATTTTAAAAATCTAGCATGGCGACTCCACCGTGCTGCGGCGACGACGTCGTCGCCCGCGGGGGCGGTCCGCCTCGAGTCGGTCGTTTTTGACTGAATTCAACCGATTTTACATCAATTCCTGTAAGCACACGCGCTAAAGGGCCTTGATGGGCCGAAAAAATACGAAAAATCGAAACTCACTGGCGGTGGGGTTCTTCGGTGCGGTGGCTCCTCCGGCTCACGTTGCGGTTGGGTGTTTCACTTCGGTCAACCTGTAGAGAAGAAAACAGTGATCACAACGATGGAAAAATTATGCGAAATGAGAATCCGGAAGGAGCTCATTGGAGGCGGATTGTGAAATTCCCCGTGGCGGTGCCGCTGGGCTTCGTCGGTATTTTTCGGCCAATTGGCTAGTCCTTTCACTTCGATTTGGGCATGGGTGAGCTTAAAATTAAATTTCATACAAAAAAAAAGTTTTTTACCTTTTTTGGCGATCAGAAAGGGTTCCGGTGCGGCAGCGGGTGGAGGCGGTCGGCTCCCCAGCGGCTAGGTCATCTTCTCCGGCGAAGGGTTATGTCGGCTGGGGTTAGGGTTTGGTGTGGATGGGGGTTATTTATACCCATCCACTTTTGATCTGGGACGTCCATCGCGATTCACTTTAGGCCGTCCGATCGCTTTTAATCTGGCCGTTCGATTATGTTTGGAAGGGAGCGCATCCAGGCCGTCCGTGCACGCGAGAACGGACCTCAGCTGTTCGATCACGCACACGTAGATCGCCCATGTGCCCCCCCCTACGTGGCCTCCCATGTCAGCGCCTCTGCCACTTGGCGCATCCTGGTTGGTCGGGGCTGCTGACCGGACGTCTGACGTGGTAAATTTTTTTAAAATTATGTTTTGACCTCCGATTTTATATTTTTCTTTCAAAAATACCCCCAAAACCCAATTTTTCATCCTTTTTTTTCAAAATTATTTTCAATTTAATCTTCCATCAATTTTACTCATTTTTTTTTCATAAAATTAAAATAAATTAAATTAAATTAAATTAAATAATAAAAATAAAAAAAATTATATTTATTAATAAAAAAAAGATTTTGGTGGGTGTTACAACTCTCCCCCCTTAAAAGAAATTTATTCCCTCAAATTTGTCTCTTACTCTCAATCGAACAGTTGGGAATACTGGACTCTAAAGTCTAATTCTAGCTCCCATGTAACTTCCCTCGGTGTGTGGTTCTGCCATATGACCTTTACAAAGAAAATTTTTCGGTTACAGAGTAATCTGCTCTTTCGATCTACAATGCAAATCGATACTTACTCATATGATAGATCCTCCTGAAGTGGAAAAGGCTCGTGAGTCAAGACATGAGAGGGGTCCGGGTTGTACTTGCGTAGCATAAACACATGAAACACATTGTGGACCTTGTAAAATTCTGAAGGCAGTGCTAGTCTATAGGCGGCGGTACCAATTCTGTCTAAGACTTCAAATGGTCCAATAAATCGGGAGTTCAGTTTCTCTCTCCTACCGAACCTACTGATTCCCTTGAAATGAGTGACTTTAAGGAACACCCGATCGCCTTTCTCAAATTCTAAATCTCTCCTTAGGGTGTCCGCATAACTCTTCTGCCTGCTCTGAGCCGTCTTAATGTTCTTCTTGATTTTAACTATTTTGGATGTAGTCTCCTATACCAGATCTAGGCCAAACAGTTTTCTATCCCCCACTTCTTCCCAACAAATCGACGATCTGCATGGACACCCATATAACACCTCATATAGAGTCATGCTAATACTCGCTTGCTAGCTGTTGTTGTAAGCAAACTCTATCAGGGGTAGATGGTCATCCCAATAGCCCTCAGAGTCAAGGACACAAGATCGGAGCATATCCTCAAGTATACGAATTGTCCTTTCTGACTGTTCATCGGTTTGAGGGTAGAATGCAGTACTAAGGGATAGGTTCGTTCCCATGGCTTGCTGAAAGCTATTCCAAAATCGAGAAATGAACCTGGGATCCTTGTCGGACACTACTGTCACTGGCACTCCATGCAATCTAACTATTTTTTGGATATACATTTTTGCTAACTTGTTCAAGGGATCGATCATCCTGATGGCCAAGAAGTGGGAAGACTTGGTAAGCCGGTCAATAATTACCCAGATGACACCATGTCCTGAGCGTGCCTTAACTAATCATGTCACGAAGTCCATGGTGATATGTTCCCACTTCTATTATGGGATCGGTAATGCCTGAAGTAGTCTGCCTGGAATGTAAACCTTAACCTTTTATTTCACTTCTGCACTTAAATTATTATATATTTCCTTTTGGATTTTCAGGGTCGTTACATTATCACTGTCAACATGAATTAATATTTATATTATGATATAAATATTATATAATCTTTACACTATACCTAAGTTTTCATACTAATCCCAGTAGAATATTTAGTCTAGAATTTTTATTTAATATTTTTCAAATGCTTGCACAAATTTTGTTTAAAATAAACTGAAATCTTGTATTATGAACAATTAATTCTGTAAGATCTAAATAAATTACTAACCAAAATAAGCGCTTGAATATCACTCACTAGTTTCTATAAAAAAAAACATTCATTTTTCGTCAAAAATTGAGTAAAATCATGCATTATGTCATACATCTTGCATATTAATTTGATTTATCAACACAATCATATTCAAAGTCTTGGAAAAAGGAGTGCATTGCCAAATTATCAAAGTACACCTAACCAACAGTTTTTATATCATCTTTAAGATAGCCTTGCGCCATCCATAATCTAATCAAATTCTCTCTCCTTATCTTGTAATCTTTTGGAAAGATAGCACAATATAAGAAACACTACCTTATTTCATAAGGCAAATAAAAATAACTCAGCAGCAAATGAGGAAAAAGCTATTGTTCAGCTTCTTTTAGCTCCCATATTTAGCTATCTAACACACACTTCCATTGTTCTCTAGTTTTCCTAAATCGTAAAAGACCTCCGATGAATTTGAAGCAAGAGGCAACGCATTACACTTGTGTGCAATTTGCCTACCAATGTCCTTAAATGCTTGCATTCTTCATCTATTCTATTGAAGAAAGCTATGCTGCTAAACACATACCAACATTCTTCCTCCGACAAGTTCTCTAAGAAATACATGTGGGTGTTTCTGCTTCCCATGATATTTACAACAGTCTCCTTCCTTGTGGTCACTAAAATCTTACTTCCTGGAAAACCAAACTTGAAAGAATGTTCCAAGCATGTCGATTTTGAGGAATCTTCATTCCACACATCATCCATGACGAGAAGAAACTTCTTATTTTTAGTAGATCATTTTATTACTTACAGTAGATTTTCTAATTCAACTAGATTTGGAGTGCTACCAATAATGGATTCAAGGATTGCCTTAGCGATCCTAATCTCATCAAAAGGATTTGAGAGACACACCCATATATTGTTTTCAAAATGGTCCACTACATCCTTATCATTAAAGGCTAATTGAGCCAGAGTTGTCTTTCCTAATCCTCCTATCCCAATAATAGAGATCGTTTGGAAGAGTGATTCTTGACTACTTTCTTCTAACAGCATCCTTACCACTTTATTTTTGGTTTTTTCTCTACTGCGCACCTGAATTTCATTGATGAAAGAGCTAGTCATTTTTCACTCAAGATTTATTATTTCCCTTCCACCAAACTGAAACTTATACTTGATTCTTAATTGGCAATAACATCTAGTCTCTCATTCAGCTTTTTAATTTTGCGGGCAATGTCATGGCACAAAATGACTTGGTTGATGCAAAAGCAAGAGTATGGAAAGAAGGAACATACCTTGAGTATGGAGCCACTCTCAACCTTCTTCTCTTCAGCTTCAACTTTTAATTGAAGTAGAGCAGTATTCCACTCATCCAACACGTCCTTTATATCATATGAAGCATCTTTTAATTTCTCTAACCATAACCTTACATTGGCCTCCTTTACCCCTCGTTTCTCTTCATCTTCAAGCACATCTAGAATGGCCTTGAAATTGTAGGTAAACTTTTGGACTTCCTCTTCGACACCCACAACCAGTCGCACCTCTTGCTTTGTCTTTGTAAGCAATGAAAACCAACGACTGTAGGACTGCAGATACAATTGCATCAGTCATTCTTAGGAGATGAGAAATGAATGAAAATTAAGAAGATAGATATGTCTTCCGATGAAGTCAACCAAGGGGCTTAAAAGATGGTCTTGCTCCTCCTTTTAAAGTTTAATTAAATGAATGATGACAATTATGATAATCATTTTATTTAGATTCATTTAATAACAACTTAATCAATAATGAAGAAAGAAGGACACTTTTTTATTAATTTTACCTACCCTTCAAATAACAACCATTAGTTGACTTCCTATATTTTTAATCAATCTCTTGAATTCATTGGATGGGTACTTTCACAATAAAAAATAAATTATGAAATAATTTCACATTCCCATTAAAATAACATCAACGAGCTGGCTTTTTATAGTTTCAACTAGTTAGATGATTTCATTGCATCACTAATTTATGATGACAAATAATAGAATCAAAGCAACAACATGTAGAGCATTATCTAAAGCTAACAAGAGAAATATTGATTTTGACTTTTCAAAACTATATTTTGGCATAGATAGAAGAATTAATTACATAAAAAAAAAGGATTTAACTAATTTGATTAATAAAATCATTCGTCGTGTACAAAATATTAAAATCAAACATCTTGATACCATGGATTAAACATTAAAGTAAATGACGACGAGAAGAACATTTTTCACGATCTATCGTTATATAATTAAAACTTTATGCATGACTGGTTCAAAAGACAATACTAAACATAATACAATCAACTTAAGATTATTCACTCTCCAATTTTCATGACCCCCTTAAAATAATTTTTTTTTAAAGAGAGAAATAGAAAAAAAACCAAGATGAAATATAAATATGGACTATGTGAATATGGCACTGCACTAAAGCGTGGATTTCTTGCTTCGGGCACAATTTTGTTCGTCTTCAAATCTATTAATCTACCTCTTTAATTTGGGGTTGCATATATTCCTAATGATGTATCTTAGGCATTTCTTTGAGACAATCTAGTAGAAAATAAGAATATATTAATTTGGATTAAGCTTTTCAATAAAGAAATTTTTATGCACTTGTTGTTGTAAAGATCCGGAACTTAAAAGGGAAAAAAATTATAAATTAAATGCGGAAGTGAAATAATAGAGTTAGGGTTTACATTCCTTACACAATAATTTAGAATACTTAATAGGGATACGAGAATGTTTCTTCTAAAAGAACAAGTAAAAAATCAAAGAAATAAACAAAAAGTAAACAACTGGGCTAGGATGACCTTCACTAGCCTTTGAAGGAAGTCCGAGTTGTGAATTATTCACAACCCTCTTATTGATCGAGATCTGGATCTTGTTCCTCTTGATTTGAAATAGTTAATGAAAGGGTAAGCTACACTAGCCCAGTAAGAATATCACACTACTCACCGATACAGAAACTTAAAGTTTGTAAAAATCATAAAAATAACAAATGAAGCTCTTAATTTATGTAAATACATTTATCACAAATAAAATAATTTATTGCATACTTACCATTGCGAGATTTTCAAAACCGACCTATAGAAATAATAACTCAAATAACATCATGATCTTATATTCAAGTGAGAAAGAACAACTACTTTCCCTTTTTTATTTGCTTACTGGTATCCTTGAGGGTCCATAGGATGTCCCACTACGCATGAACCAATATCTAAACTTTGTTAACTAACCAGCTGTTCTCAAACCCCATTCGGTATGAGCACTAAAAATATCATCTATCGATACCCCGTTCAGTATGAGAGTGAATCGGGTCGTCTCCATACCCCGTCGGTATAAGCGCCAAAAATATCATTTCTCGATATCTCGGTTTCCTATGTACGGTCCGTCCACCATCTCCCAAGATATTCAGTAAAACAACTATTCATTAATTCACTTAACCAAGTAATTATTTGTTTACATTTTAATTTTTAGTTTTACAAATTAACTATAAATCACACAAGACAAACAATACATACATCAAGGAAGCATAACTGAATCATTTAACAATTTTAGTATATTATCATGCATTTAAAGCTGTAAAATCAAACAATCAGTTAAACAGGATAAACAATAAATAACTAACCGGTTCTAGCTCTATTAATTACCTGTAATTATTCTCGAAGTTTTTTAAATTACATAAAATATCATATTATCGATCATTAAACTTCAATTCTACAACAGAGAGTAAGGTGAGAGATTCTTAGCCGAATCGGTGTCCGAAACACTAAACTTTCTACAGTGCCTACTGGTGGTCCCCAGATTTTCTAAATTTTCCTACAGAGATTAAAACACACTTTATGTATCTAAAAATACCTCAAAACTAAAAATCGGTGTTAAAAACCGTTTTTGGCAAATTTTAGGGTTCCGGCACTGCGACACCACTATTTGCAGTGGCGGTTTGCCTCGTTTTGGCCATTTTTTTGACCAGTTTTGGCCAGTTTTGATCGGTTTTATACTCATCCATGCGAGAAAACACGTTAGGGAGGCTCGGTTGACTGGAAAAAAATCAAAAAATAGAAACCTATCGGTGGTGGAATTTTTTTGTGCGGCGGCTCTGCCGACTCACCTTCGCAGTTGGGTATTTTTCTTTAATGAACTTGTAGAAAATAAAACAGTGAACACAATGGTGAAAAATTGCACGAAATGAGAAACGAAAAGGGGCTCATCGGAGGCGATTGCGGGTTTTGCCTACGGTACCGCCGCCGATCTTTGCCCGTAGTTTCCAGCTCACTCACCATTTGTTTTGCTCCGATATAGACATAGGAGTACTCAAAATCAAATTCTAAATGAGTTAGAGAATTTTACCTTTTCTGGCGGTCAGAGGTGGCTCCGATGTGGCAGCGGGTGGTGGTCGGCTCCCTTCTCCGGTGACTGGTTCTTCTTCTCCGGGAGGGACTAACGGCTAGCGTTCGGATTCTGTGTGATGCGAGATATTTATGCCCATCTTATGTTAATCTGGACCGTTCATTGCATTCTATCTCGGTCGTTCGATCGCGTCTAAAGAGAAAACGAATCTGGACCATTCATCACATTTGATCTCGATTGTCCGATCGCGTCTAATGAGAAAACGAATCTAAACCGTTCATCACATTTGATCGCGACTGTCCGATCATGCCTGAGGAGAGAACGAATCCGAACCGTCCACGCATATGGGAAGGCTTCTGGGCCGTCTGATCGCGGGACACGCAGATCGCCAGCGTGACATCCCTCGTGGCACTGAGTTAGCGTGCCTTGCCACGCAGCGTGCTCTAGTTCATCTAGATTGCTGACTGAGTGATCCTACGTGGTAAAATTTTCTAAAATTGTGTTCTAACTCCCAGTTTCTGATTTTTCTTTCAAAAAGTTCTCGAATCAAATTTTTTATCCATTTTTATCAAAATTATTTTCAATCTCATCCCTAATTTTTTTTCCAAATAAAATAAAATTTTTATTAAATTAATTTATAAAATGTATTTTATTTTATCTTTTATACCTCTCTAAGTTAATAAAATTTATTCCGGGCCAATTTTTTGACTCTGGGTATTACAACTCTCCCTCTGTTAAAAGAAATTTAGTCCCTCAAATTTATCAATTTTACTTAATCAAATAGTTAGAGATACTGGATTCTGAAGTATGATTCCAGGTCCCATGTGGCCTCACTCTGTGTGTGATTCTGCCATAGGACTTTGAGGAAGGGAATTTTCTAATTGCAAAATACTCTACTCTTTCGGTCTATAATACCCATTGGTACCTCCTCATATGACAGATCCTCATAGAGTGAAAGGGTCTCGTGGGCCAAGATGTGAGAGGGGTCCGAGTTATACTTGCGTAGCATGGACACATGGAATACATTATGGACTCTAGATAGTTCTAGAAGGAGTTCTAGTCTGTAGGCGGCGGTACCAATTCTGTGTAAGATCTCAAATGACCCAATAAATCGGGGATTTAGTTTTTTTTCTCTTGCCAAACCTACTGATTTCCTTGAAAGGGGTGACATTGAGGAACACTCGATCACCTCTTTCAAATTCCAAATCCCTTCTTCGAGTGTCCGCATAACTTTTCTGTCTGCTCTGAGCCGTCTGGATATTCTTTCTGATCTTAACTATTTTGGATGTAGTCTCCTCCACAAGATCTAGACCGAACAATTCTCTATCACCCACCTCTTTTCAACAGGTTGGTGATCTGAATGGGCGGTCATATAACGCCTTGTACGGAGCCATGCTGATACTTACTTGGTAGTTGTTATTATAAGCGAACACTATTAAGGGTAAATGATCATCTTAATGGCCCCCGAAATCAAAAAAACAAGCACGAAGCATATCCTCTAGTGTGCGGATCGTCCTTTCTGACTGTCCATCGGTCTGAGAGTGGGATGCGGTACTAAGAGATATTTTTGTTCCCATAGCTTGCTGAAAACTAGACCAGAACTGAGAAGTAAATCTGGGTTCCCTGTCGGATACTACTACCACTAGCACTCCATATAACCTAACTATCTCCCGAATATACATTTTTGTTAACTTGTCCAATGGGTCGATCATCTTGATGGGCAAGAAGTGAGAAGACTTGGTGAGCTGGTCAATAATTACCCAAATGACATCATGTCCCGAGCGTGCCATAGGCAATCTTATTACGAAATTCATTGTGATGTGTTCTCACTTGCACTTCGGAATCGGTAATGGCTGAAGTAGGCCGCCTGGACGCTGATGTTCTGCATTAACCTATTGACACACTAGACACTTGGAAATAAAGTTGGTTACCTCTCTTTCATCTCGTTCTACCAAAACCAATGTCGCATACTTTGATACATTTTAGTACTTCTAAGATGCATGATAAACTTTGAACTATAAGCCTCTGTCATGATGTCCTTTTTCAGCTTACTGTCACATAGAACATACACCTTGTCCTGAGATCTGAGCAACCCATCGGCAAATACTCATAATTTTGAATTTACTCCCTATTCTGCATCTTTCCTAAGAGCTACTAGGGTGAAAATCGACAAATTGAGCTTCTTTTATTCTCTAGATCAACTCAAGTTGAACAGT